TGTCTTTAAGCAAGTAATTTGGTTGTGATGTCAGAGGTTGCCCCCTTTCGCTGCCATACTAAGCCGGAAGTACGCCACCCGCAGAAGTTGCTCCATCTAGGGATGAGATATTTCGAGATATGTCACGTGTCTTAAATCTACGAAGACAGGTACGACGCGCTGCGTTCGTTCTGCATGGAAGTGACATGTAATCTCTTTTATCTTATTGTTTTTCCTCTTTTCCTTTCATCCATTATGTCTCGTCCCTTACACGCTCAGAGGTATCTCGCTTCTCGGAATACTAGTCCAATGAGGTGGCTTTATCCAGGGCGTCTGCCCATTGTCCACTCTTTTCTTCTCTGATAAGTCGAATACCATCTGTGGATGTAACCGATGAGTTTTTGAATGGCTATCTAGCCCGTTCCTTGCTTACGATCCCCCTCTTACAAGCTAGTCTCGTTGACACTCAACCCCCTAAGAGTGTTGGACACATCAAAGGACCACATTTTAGGCCGTAGCATACTGCCTATTTCAATATTCTTTCTTCGTCTTTTTTTCCGAAAAGCGTTGAAAAGGGCCCTCTAACCTTAGGTACAGTCTTGTTCGCTGCGGAAGTTGGGGCGTGTCAATTGGTAGAAACCTGGCTGGCTCGTGTTCTAAGCGGCGCCAGCCAGTTTTCTACCAGTTGTGATTGTGTTTCTGAAAAATTGGTAATGGCTGCCGCCGCGCCAAAGCCGTTCCCCCTCTCCGACGCGCACGTCATCCGCAGCCAACCGGACTGTAAGCAAACAAGGGATCAAGTTCCCTTTAGTGGAGACGAGTTTGCGACACCGTTAGTACACTATCACTTATTGTCATGCGAGCACAAGCTCGTTACGGTCCACTCCGAACTGGATCAGCTAGGGTCCTTCTCTCTTTCTTAGTGACCACGGCATTTACTCAGGGTCCTCGTTGCGTTCTCCGAATATTTTGAACTATCATGAGCATCTTGACTATTGATAACCACTTCAGTCCAGGCTAGTGGAATTGACGGATTCTGTAGGCTTCAGCCCAAGTTTTAAGTCGTTCAGATGGACACCAAGACCAAGATATAGTTCTGAGTAAAAGTTGAAAAATACGAAAAAGAAATAGAGAATCGACCATCAAAAAGTAATAGTTAACATACCAGGCAAGGATAAACAAAAAACTTATTCAAAATGTCTATCTTTCATAATATCAGTATTGTTAGAAAGGCACTCAAAGAACGGCACTATGTTCACTCCATACCTGTAAGATGGGGAGGTGTGGCTGCATGCGTCATTGAACAGGATGCGCTATTCCGGGGATGGTTGGTGCTGGGCAAAGACATGATTGTGAAATGTGTTATGAAATGAAAATATCTCACCACCAGTGCCGAATTCAAACAAAGTCCGCAATCACCGAATCTCCAACAACAAGATATGGAGTGCACAGCGCCACCGTCTGAGAAGACCTTCATCTTGAAAGGCTCTCACTCCCAGGATTCTGTATGATTCCTGCGGGAATCGTAGGGTGCTCATTGCGGCACGCGTTTTAGTGATGAAATGAACAGTAAGAACACTTCTACGTCTCCCCGGAGCCTCTCACCAAATATCGATTCATAAAAATACCACCTACTATGGTTACTGTAGGTAATTCCTTGTGCAGCTAACATTTCTTCTTTTTCTGCTATCATTAAAAGTGGACTAATAATTGCCACTTTCATCAAGCACAGTGTGGTTCTTGACCTGACTTCAGAAAGTTGAATGCCTAAGGTAAGCAATGAAGGATCTAATACGATGGAAATTTCCAGCCTTTAATTTAGAAACGGAGGTGGTGTAGTGGCTAGTGGCACGCTTACCACGAGCGGTCGGGGGACCAAATCTCAGATCGCCTCCCGCCCCGGCCAACCAAGTCTTCTACCCTCCTGGGACGGTAGATGGTACCAGATTATTCTGGGAGGTTAAGAACACGGGCTTGTGCAATTCGTTGTAAAGGCCGCATCGCATTCAGTAAGCTACCATGATTCTGAGTGGAAGCAGAATGCGTGTCGCATTCAAAAAGAGACTGATCAAAAGCGATGGCTTTACCCTTCGTCCTTTTACTCTAGAGCCCTGATCCTACGTTAGATGAGAGACCTGGAAATCGTAGATTTCCTTTTTTTTACAGCTAGGAGCTTCTCAATAAATACATGCCAGACATTCTCAATTTCGTATGCGACAGCACATCTTGATTAAAAACCCGTGCATTTGTTTTTGCTAAGCAAATTGGAATGCACAATGCAATATTTATCTCGTCCCACTCACTTTTTTCTTGGCCGCTATCGACTTGACATGAATGGAGTCCCCGACACAATTGTCTTTCCGTAGGACTAACACGCCACTCGATTAATATTCACAGGAAGTATCAGAAGTGGAAGCAGTACTGCACAGCGATTCATGCACGATATTGTTACCTGAAAATGTACACATATCAGTGACGAAAGAGAGAGAAGCAGTGTCCTTGCTAACTGAACCACATAGAAGCCAACGTGGATTCTGTCATAGTTCCATCCGATAATCATCGGTTACGAGAAGTGTCAGCAAACAACGTCTCGCCATCATAGAAGTAATTAAGTTCGAGCTAAATGGAATAACAAATAAACTCAGGAAGTCTAAGTTCGACTCAAGAACTAGGAAGCATTAGCATTTCACTTTTTAATGCGCTTCGTTTTTGATGCTATTGAAAAGAAGAATGGTGTATAAGGGATTGGAGAAGTTGTGGAAACCTTTAGAGGTCATACGAATTAACCCAACCTCATCCTTCAATCGCACCATTTCTGCGCTGTCACTCCCTTGGCAAAGTGATCAATACACGTTGACTTTTACACTGATCCCCTGAGAGAAAGCCCACACTCAAAACTCGCGGTAATTTTCTGCATCTTTAGCATGCCTGCAGCGCGCATCTGTTTTTTGTGCACCCTGGCCTTTCGCGCCAGGACCAGCACGAAGAGTTCCAGTTGTAACGTAACCCTTCTGCACAAATTCCACAATTGTAACTGTTCCCAAGGTAACAAGGCCTCCAAGTACATTCTGATTGCGAGATATCTGGGCCAGAGCATGAACATGGCCATTCATTCTTCACTCGTTATTCAAGTACAACAGGAGGTCCTACTTAGGGGCCTAATTTGAAGAACTGCTTTTTGATAGGACATTCCCGATTTCGCCATAACAATCAGATGCCTGTCAATAAAGGTAACTAGGGCGCCATCTGTACCAGTTGCGCATCAGAACAGATGTCAACTCGGGCTCCAGGGGCAAGTGCTCAGCTGAGCTCCACCTCAAGCGCAAGCAACGACCCGCGCCTGCGTATCTTGCGACTTGTTTCAGCTGTGCTAAGCGTGCTCCAACGCTCATCGCATGGTTAGAATCGACTGCCATCAAAGTACTGTTAAGGGCTTTTTCTGCGGTTCCCCGCTTTTTTTCCCCAGGGATAGAGTCAGTTAACACCAACACTACTTCAACTCCACTACTTACAACTGCAATCGGCGAAATGTGCATTTTTCATAAGCCACCCGTAAAGTGTAGAATTTCTTCCATGTTGCCGAGAAAGGTAATGAAAGGGACGGCAGTTGTGTCAAATGCTGCTCTTGCCCCTATATTTAACTGACTTCACGTGAATGTGTGCTTCCATTCAGTTAGTTAGAATGCTTGCTAGTTTGTGTTTGCATTGCGTATCGCTCACACCCCCCCCCCCCTGTCCGCCTTCCGCCCCCCGCCTGAGCCTTTGACGCACTCAGTTTCTACGTGACGGTGATTCATGAAGAGTCGTGTTGTTGACGTCAATCATGTACAACCCGCAAATCCCCCCCCCCCTACAGCGGCTCGCCCCCCCTTGCAAACACTAAGGCTTAGCCTTAGCAGAGTGCAGATAATCGTAGTGTCCTCCATTAGCGCCAGCGTCAAGGATGAATGTCATATTCGTAATCAGGATGTTGAATAACCCCTGCATACAAGTTTTCAGCGGATTTGGTGATCTAGGCACTTCATAAAGCCAGCAGCCAAAACTGAGCGGTCGAAACGGCATCTCGCCCCCAATCCCACCCTTAGCAGGCTTGAAATTTGTTAGTGTTGCTCCTACACTTCTATTTTCAGACCTAATCTGTGTTGCTCTAAGGTTGTTTCCTTTCTGTAATTGCCCACTGTTCCCAGTTCCTCGTCTATCAATTAGAAGCCTGTTTTTCTGCAGAAGCTTCAGAATTGTAGGTGGGAACTCTGAGCTGCGGAACTGCGCCTCTAGGGTGATGACAACAAGGAGGTGGAGCTGTCAGAACTGCCTTCAACTACAAGTTAATCAATATAGGTATCTAGCACTTGCCTTTGACGTGAGAAAAGCCGGAATTCCACAGATAAAAGCAAAAATCCAAACCAGGCAGATCACAACCACCGTCGCACTTTTCCCTGGTCGGCGACGCATTGGATGTACGATTGCCCAATACCTAAAGTGTGTAGTGCTCTTAGTCAAGGGATAAATAATTGAGTTGCGCCCAAAATTGCTTAAGGCTACTCACCTGTCAATGCTCATCACGATCATCGTAAACACACTGGCGCATATAGGAGTGATTCCCATCATGTTATTGAAACGGCAGTAAAACAATCCCAATCTAAAATTACCTTTTAGTGAGTATTTGGAAAAAAAGTCGAGATCGAACTGCATTCCTCGTTTTTTTACGCTGCTACGTCTCATTGTAGATGTATTAGGGTGTCCGAAAAAAATTTGAGAATTTCCAGTCAGTTTGTTCAACACTTGTTAGAAACAATAAGAGATAAGAATCAACAAATAAAGTGAACATAGTTCTTTCCACTGCTCCTAACTTTTCGCCTGACTACTTTGCGTGGAAGCTAGAATGAGGTGAGTACCGAGAAAGCGGGGGCGTTACACTTCTTAATCAGACAGCAACTGAACTCCCTCTACATTTGAAGGCAGTTGGCACGATGGTTTCCTACTTAGCCTAAAATGCTAGTAGGGCGCTGTATAGTGGGGAAATGGCGAAAGAACGGAGTGAAACGGTCAAAATCCTGCGAAGAAAAAGCCTCCGTTCTCAGTAAATCGATTTCGGACGAGTTTCCCGTAGGCATCTTACCAATCACCGCTACCGAAGATACGGCTGCATATGTGTACCCATATATGCATGCAGCATCACGGCCGCTTCATACCAATCCCTTCGCTTCATAATTTGCTTAGCAAATGAATGAATACGAGCGTCAGGAACGGTCGTCCATTTGTGGGCGGGCGGGCGTGGACGTAAAGTTGTGGCTTGATACGGCCCTTATTAAGGGCACCTTCCTCGGGGACATCGTCGCTATGCAGCGCTGCCCAGCGTCGGAATCTACCCCCTGCCATGAGTATTGATCTAGTCGCCTTTGAGGGATTTATCCGTCGCAACTGCCTGTATTTAAGAGGGTGTCTAGCAGGTCAGTCGGCATACAGCGCCTCTTTCCGATTTCACTGGACAGAGCAGCAAGAACAATGTGAAGGTGAACGTCAAAGGCGCGATGGAAGTCGTATTGATATTCTGAGTTTAGTGTTGTACTTTATTACTTTTAAACAACCTTAATATATAAGGTGTCATTTTGAGTGTACGCGTTGTCTAGGGATGTGCGCAAACAACTTGTACAAAGTTAGCGGTTCAAGATTCGATTTGTTTTCGTAGCTTGGAGAGATTCTCTTTTTTAATTCCATACTTGTTGCACTCAAGGTGCTCCACAGACAAATAACCAACCGAGATGCCCACTGTAAAAAAGATTCAAAAATCATTTTGACTTGAAAAATTAAATTAATTTGGAATATTACGTCCTACTAGTTCAACAGAGGAGCTAAGACCGTGGAAATGGCAAGGAAAATACTAGATACAGTGATATCACCGCAATCAGTGGAATGGTTCGATCCCACCCTCCTCACCCTGTCCGCGACTGGATGCTGTGCTTCAAAATATATATGACGAACGCCCGATATAAATGAGTCAATGAATAGTTCCAGAATTTCCTTTAAAAAATAACTCCTCAAGAAAATAATGTGATTTTTCATTGATTATTTAATCAGATTTACTTGATCAGTTAGATAATGAGCATTGACTGTTCAAAGCACTGTGATAGTCAATATGCACTGGATTACTGAAAACATTAGAAATGTTCACTTGTATTTTTTATCTCTCTATTTCTTGATCTTTAGTTATATCTTTATTGGTTTCAAGGAAGTAGTCTAGTTTCCGTTTCGCACGTGCCCTTAGACGGAAGCTAGACAATCACGGTATCCTCCCTCCGTGCTCATCAGTAAGGAAGGGTAGGAAAACGAGTTTAAATACGACAAAATCAAAAAATTTTTTAAAAAAATTTTTTTGAAAAAACGTTCTAGGGAGTACTTAAATGTTTTAGGAAATTTTCGAGTTGAATTTAAAGAAATTTCTGTTACCAGGTAACATCTCATCATCGTCTCATCATCGAATAAGCCTCGTTCTAAAGCCTTATTCGATGATGAGACGTGTAAGGGATTAGCAGCGCGGCGCAAAACCTTTCTTCACCAATTGTGGAAACTGGGAGGCGATTGGTGGGAAAACTGGCTGACGGCGCGCGCCAAACCTAGACCCGCTGACACGCCCCAGCGTACGCGCGCGCACATGGGACCCGCCTGTGGGCCAGAAGCTCTGCGAAGGCTCTAGTGGCAAGGGAATGTAAGTATAATCAACGGAAATCAGCGTCAAAACTACGTAAGAAGATTAACATGGAAGCTCGGTTAATGAAAACCTCTGAAGGAGAGGGGCCGTCCATGACTTTAAGCGATAAACCGGGTACAATTCTGGTGGAAGAGCATGAGCTGCTCTTCCATCAGAATTGTACCAGGCCCCGGCGGGACCGACAGCGCAAAAGTTATGTAAGTGGATTGAAATGAGAAACCATGCCTTGTGCTCACAGGACACTGCACCATTTGATTACCACTTATTATGTGGCTTGAATCGTTTGAATGGCAGAATAATGGAATAATAATTCTGGGCACGAGACCCAAAGTGTGGGGAAAAACTTGTTTGCGAAGAGGCCAGGACAACGAGTGTTCGGAGAGGTCGTATTAGAAGTCTACCAGAAGTGTTATAAATGGTCATAGGTAATGAAAGTGATACTGTACACAGATTTATTTATTTAGTTATTTATTTTTACTTCACTCTGGGTGCAATGCAAGTGAAAGGGCAGAGAACGTTGCTAGTAGCAACTCGGATCGAACCGTAGTTATTATAAAAGAAATACAAAACAATAAATATAAAACAAATTATGACAAGAAAGATGGAATTTCAAACGGCAACCAGCAGAAACCGCTTGCCTACCCTTGCGGCGAAACGTGGACGTTAAAGGTAACCCTGGAGTGAATTTAGGAGTGTTATTCAGCTGAATGTATTGTTGAGAATAATTGTTCTCGTTGAGCTTACACACATCATTCTATGTGTTACTATGCAGAGATCGCCAAGTACGGCTCTCAGTAGGATGTAGGTCTTCTTCGCTGAACGATCGTGAAGTTATTAGATCACTTAATCGGCTCATGTACATTTTGGCTTAACTGCCTTCATCAGAGCCTGGAAAGATGTAAGCGATTTGTAACTGTCCGACCAAACGTCAAGACCAAACTTCTCCGCTGCCCTACTGAAGTTCGAAACACAACAGACCACCACCCAATCACGAGGAAAATCACTTACCGTAACACAGTTCGATCCCCGAGACCCATAAGATGCTGGCAGTCGAACCAGGTCGGACTGTGTTTATATGGAGTCCTAGTTCTTGGAGTCCTAGTTGGAGTCCTAGTTCGGACTGTGTTTATATGGAGTCCTAGTTCTCGCGTAATAGTGAGGCACTCTTCTCTCCG